TAAACACCCATATTTAATAACAAAGCTTCCTATCCTTCTTTCCAAATCAGTTTACAATTTATTTACATCTCATTTCCTTATATTATACCCATACATGTATATACGTTATTATCATTATCCCTCCTTTATTTGACTATATCCTCCATCATATCATGATGGTATATTTTATGATGAAGGACGTTTAAACAACTACAGCCAAATGAAAATGGAGGTACGATGATGGTAATAACATGTATAAATATCTGAGTTAAAAATACTTGAGTTAATATGAATTATGCTTGATGACTGGGGAAGAGATGCACGAGAGTCTTTTGTAACCAACTGATACACTTTCTACAGTATGTCAAAAAGGAAGATTTTATGCGTTGTGTTTGTTTTGAAAATAAAAAAAAGCCTTTAAATTAAAAAAAGCCTATACGTAGACTAATCGCGACAGGAAGGCTGTTTATAATGGAGAAGGAAAAGCAAAAGGCGGATACTGTTGTGAAATAAGCAACGGGGGGCGGGGCGGGGGGCGGGGCATGGAGCTCGTAAAACCCTACATTCTTTCAACCGGGAGGGAGGGAGGAGGAGGAGGAGGGGCCAGAACAGCAAGGCGGGATTGGCCAGCCCTGAGGCGGGGGTGGAACCTCGGTTGACAAAGCGGAGCGCACGAAGGCCAGTCGACGGCGAAGCGGCGCTCTCATTGGACGCTCCTTCGAAGTCCCGCCCCGCCGCGGCCCACGCCCGCCCGCCTGCGTCCCGTGCTTCCTGGGTGCCGCAGTGGAGTTGAAGGGTGTCCAGCTTCGGGCGCCCGCGCGCGCCGTTTTTTCCCCCCCTCGCGAGCGGGAGATGTTGGAGAGTTTGCGCGAGCGGCTGCTGAGCGTCCAGCAGGATCTGAGCTCCGGGTGAGGAGGCGACCGGGGAAGGCGGGGGTGGTGGTGGTCGAAAAGGCGGTTGCGGCTCCCCTATAATGCTCCCGAAAGACACGGGGAGGGCGGCGCTCGGTCGGTCGGTGGGTGGTGAGTTTGAAGTCGAGGCGCCGGGAAGACTTGAATCCCCGAAGCCTGGTTTTTTTTGAGGGTCGCGTTCCCTTAAGAAGCCCCCCAAACTGCGTCAATCGCTTCGGGCAAGCAACTGCCAAGGGGCGGTGGGTATAACACCTGACGCCTTTACGCGCCAATAAGCCCCCTCCGGACCCGGTGGGCTGAATTTACTACAAGAGGGGTGGTTTGACTCTGCTGCAGCCGCGGATAAATCCCGTGGTAATTCCCTGAAACTTAACCCTGAGCAAATAAAAAAGGGGACAGGGCTTGTAAAAAGTGCAGTATGCGAGGTAATAGTAGCAACCTTTCTTGACCAGAACAAGTAATCCTTGACTTACGACCACAATTGAGCCCAACGTTTATGTTGCTAAGCGAGACGGTTGTTAAGTGAGTTTCGCCCCCATTTTTACCACCTTGCTTGCCACCGTCGTTAAGTGAAGCCCTGCTGTTGTTGGGCTAGTTACACCATTGTTAATTGGATCTGGCTTCCCCCGTTGACTTTGCTTGTCAGAAAGTCGCAAAAGAGGATCATGTGACCCCCCCCCTTTTAACATAAATATCAACCACTTGCCAAGAGTCTGAATTTTGATCACATGACCGTGGGGATGCTGCAACGGGTCGTAAGTGTGAAAAGTGTGTTTTCAGTGCCGTTGTAACTTTGAACACTGAACAAACTATTGTAAGTCAAGGGTTACTTGTAGTGTGCTTAAGTTCAACCATATGTACGCTAGGCCTTCTCTGTGGCTGCTCCGACCCTCTGGAATGAACTCCCCGTGGAGATTCGTATCCTCACCACCCTCCAGGCCTTCCTCACCACCCTCCAGGCCTTCCGCATAGCCCTCAAAACCTGGCTGTTCCGACAGGCCTGGGGCTAAAGACTTG